TTATTATTTTATATACATAAAAATTAAGAGACAAATATGTCATTTTAATCTAATAAGGAGTAATTATAATTTTTTAAATGAAAAAAAAATCTGTATTAAACAAAAATATCAAAACTTGTTAGTGTAAATTATCCAAAATAAAGAGAGTGAGATCATAATGGCCCCACGTACCCAATTCAATTGGACCGTCCAAATCCACCTTAGCGTACCGGAGACAATCAATTACGAGCATGATTCGTGTGACGTCATTTGCCCTTCGTCATCTGTAACTTTAACAAAATGATTCATCCTACTAAAAACATCACTACTAATAGCACTAATGCATTAAAAAAATGAAAAAAATAAAAAAAAATTACAACTCCAAGACCAAAACATCACATCATTCATGACGGGACCCACTGCCACCTAATTAGTGGGAGCACTAATTAGTACTCCCAAGCATTTTTCTAACTTTAAAGCATGTTAAAAAGTTCTAGATCAATAATTTATTTTAAAAAAATGGATAATAAGTCAAAAATAGCACACCACGTTTGAAATTCTTTTGCTTTCAGATCTTTTTTTAAACGGTAGGACAATTAAGGTTTTTTTTTCGTATTTTTTTTTATTTTTAGTTTATTTTTTAATATTTTATATTTTTTTTAAAAAAATACATCTAAATAGTAAGAATATAAAAAAATGAATTGAAAACTCAAAAAATTGTTTTAAAAAACTCCAAACCAAGTAGAGAAAGAATTCAAAATTTGTGTGTTGGGTTTTGAATTTTATTATAGAGTTATAGAGAGAAAAAATAAAATAAAATAAAATCATAAGGGAATTAATTTTTTAATAATTTTTTGAATTACAAAAAGACATATAAAAAATAAAAAGAATAAATTAATTTTTTGTATTAACTTTTAGTTAATTTAACATGTTCTCAAATAAGGCTTCAATCTTAAATTCAAACTTGTACGAGTTTACAAAATGTTTTAACTTTGATTTTTCGAGCAAATCTCAAATGAGTTTTAGTTACGTTGTTAACAATTTACACGTGCTTAATGTTCTTTATAATATATAAATTTATGGAGCTGAGTGATAAAGATTGTTCAAATTTAATTTAAAAAGTAAGCATTAAAATGTATACAAATTTAATTTATCTTTTCAATGAGTGAAATACAAATGAAATTTATATAAATTGATTTGTGTATAATATTATTTTCTCTCACAAGTCTCTTGTTAAATTTAAAGTCAAAACACAGTGTACAAGTATTAGCTGTACCGAGTGAAGGAAAATATGTATCAAAAGGAGAAAAAAAAGTAACAAAGACAGCTAGCCAATTGCGTTTTGCAAAGAAAAGTGATCAATTATATAATAATTATTATGTGTTAGACTTAGACTTAGACTTTGTACCGTCTACTCTTATCTGAAACCTGAAATTACTTGGTGATTGTTGGGTCACCTAAACCCATTCAATTGTTCACTAATGAAATTGAGACATATTTTATTACCACTAGGTACTATCATTAATTATTGGAGCCAATTAAAGATTTTTAGAAGAAGAGTATTCATGTAACGATGAAAAGTTGTTAAAAAAAATAAACGTTAAACACATGCTGATATAAATGGGCAAATTTCATTTTACACCATTTTATATTTTGAGTGCGGTTAATAACACAATAATTATTACTTTAGACCCTTATTTTTTATATTTTTTATTATAATAATAATTTTAAATAAAATTATTACATGAATAAAATTGGATTATCCCATCTCACAATTAACCCTCCACCGAATCATAGCATACGGTTTTGAGAGTATCTACTTTCATCACTACCTACCCACTTCAAAATTTCCAAAACCTACACACACCAGCGGCAAGTCTTCTTTGGCGGTAAATTATTTCCCAAAAAGCTTTGGATAGTTCGCACTCCCTTAGCAATGGCAATGAGTAAATTTTTTTCCAACAACTCCAATATCGTGAGACCAATAAAGCATCACAATGTTAGCTCAGAGGAGGTTTTAGAAATATTTTAAATTTTGGAGGTAAGGGCTCAAAGAAATGGAAGCTCTAAAGTATTAATTTGAGTGCTATTCAACACTCTTGTATTTTACATTTATTTTGACGTATGATTATTTAATAATTTCAATCAATCTTAGATTTTGAATCTAGTTGCAATTAGATTCAGTCTTGTAATGTTGTTTAGGAAATTGACAGTGGGTCTCAAATGAAGGAATTAAAGTGAGATTTTAGTAGAAGTGTAAAAATAATAAATGTAAGGGTAAATTATACTTTTAATCCTTATAATTTGATCTAAATTTTACTTTGCTCTATATTGTTTCAAATGAATAATTTGATCTTTACACTTCAATTCTAGTTTTAATTTAACATTTTCATTCAAGTTGGAAGTTAAAATTAGCAATTTTGAGACACTTGTTAGTTTCCGGAAGTGTACATATAATAATAATAATAATAATAATAATAATAATAATAATAATAACAAGAAATTTACATGAAATGACCAAATTGAAACTACTTTGAGGATTAAATTGTTTAACTTAAAATAATAAGAACCAAAGAAAAATTTGGGCCAAACTATAAGGGTGAAAAGTGTAATTTATCTTAAATATAATTAATTGGCTATTCTTGGTTAATTTTTGAAACGGTGTTACAAAAATAGATCCAATTGCAACTTGACTGAAGCACAAAGGATTGATTGGGATAATTAAAAGGTCTGTAGTTAAAGTGTAAGGATATAAAGTGAAATTTATCTTAATTATACTTGGCACCTCTGCACTTTTACTGTCAAATTGCAATGTGACTTTTCCTTTGAATTTAATTCACAGACGGAGCGGTAAAATTACAGCTTAACTTAAAACATGAGGGATTAATTGTTACAACTAAAAATAAAAGGATCAAAATGAGATTACCAATTCTTAATTTTTAAATTTATGCAATGGCACTTTAGGATGAGATTATGAGTACGGTGAAATTGAGTGAGGAAATTATTAGTTGTGGTGATATTAGATTAGAGATGTAAGATGAAGTGTGTTTATTTATATAATAGTGTGGTGGTATTTGTTAAATTTATAAAATTACCTAAAAACCCTCCTTTTATATAATATAATTTTATTGAATTTTATAAAGTGGAGGGCAAAATGATATTTTAACCATTAATTTGTGAGAGAGGATTAACTATTCCAACCCTCCAACGGGAATGTTAATCCCACCATGAGCGGGGATTCATACTCTCATGGAATAACTAATCTCATGATATTTTATTACACATGAATTATCAATCCAATCCTCCCTTCCGAACTCCCAATCAAATGTAGCCTTAATGGGTTATGTGTTAACGTTTCTTCTTCCTCCTTTCTTCTTTCTTCTTTCTCTTTTTATTTTATTTATTTATTTATTGGTACAAATGGTATAGGTTTCACACTTGCAACAACTTTTGCTCGTCCCATTCTTAAATTGGAGAGATATGGCTTAGGCTACTTTTTTTTTTTTTAATATTGTTTTTATATATCAAATGAACACGTATTGAGCAAGTTAATAAGGCTTGATTCGTTGTATTTTGTCTTCTGGTTTCATTATTTGCAAAACATTATTTTCATACTTTCACAAAGTTTATTTTCTTTTTTTGTATACATAGGGGAATCAACGTGCTGATAGTTTAGCTAAACTTGTCCAATAAGTCTATGTGAACAAATGGGGATTACAGAAATGTAACATACGTAGAAGTTCTAGAACACAACCCTTATGAAACATCTATGTTATGTTGAAAAGTCTAGATGTACAGAAGGAATAGAGCATAGAATGCACACAGGTGTGAGATAAATGTTCACAATTATAGATGTGAACATGTTCTTAACTTCAAATGCGAATATTTTTTTGTCTCATATCTGCATTTTGTGTTTAATTATTTCTGTGCAGATAGCACAATTGTGTTCTATTATGTGATTTTCTCTATGTTAGAAACACTGCTGAAAATTGTTTGCTTTCTCCCCAATTAGTAGACTGGCATATTTGGTTTGGTTTTCATAATATTTTTCTATTAAAAAAAAATCGTGGAAAAAAAAAAATCCAACACACCTATTATTTTTATATAATTTTATCTTTTTGGATGATAGAAATAATTTTTAAAATATATTTTTAATATTTATTTTTCTGTTTTTTTAAAAAAATAAAAAAATAGTTTCAGAAAATCAAACCAAACATAGCTATGAATTAAAAATTATATGTTGTGATGTTAGGGTTTATACACCAAGCTTGCATAGAGGACTTGCACATTTCACCCTTCTTGTTCAAAACTAGAACCATAATAACTAATAAGGTCCTCTACTATTTTTTAATTTATTTTTTTAGAAATTATACTATTGATGTCTCTAATTTAAATAAAATTTCACTTTACTCCATATTTTCAATGTCATCAATTTAAACTCCACACTTCTAATTATGTTTCAATATAGTCTCTCCATTACTAGTCAATAGTATTTTGAATGAAAAATTTCACGTGCTACTCATATTATAAATTACACTGATAGTTCTACAAATTTTTTTTTTAAAAAAAATTTACTTTAATTTCTTTAATTTTACACTTCTTTTTGGTCCAAAATGTTAATAACAATTGACGGTGTAAAAGGGAAATTTCACTCAAAGTCAAAGTAAAGGAACCTATGATATAATTTACCCTTCCCTTTTGGGGGCAACAGTAAGAATCAGCACTTGCTCCACCCACCCTTTTAGAAATTCTTATACCACTGCCAGCTGCCTAGAATTACTTTGGCAAGTTTTCTTTTTTTTTTTTGGGATCGGACAGAGGGTGCGTTTACACTTTAATTTTTAATTTTTTTTTTTTAAATTTTAAAATCCTTGTGTCTTGTGTTCCTTCCCGTGCCCATATACATGCTTATTAGATCTTAATCATTCTTACATAAAGAATGAAACACTTGAAATTCTTTGCATATACACATCTGTGTTTGGTTGGGAGATGTTAGAAATAATTTATAAATGGAAAGAGAAAAAGTAAGTGAAATGTGAATAAAAAATTTCACCTGGTTTTACATACTTGTTTCCTTTTCTTTTCCAAATTCCTTCTTAAATCTCCAAACTAAATACAGCGTTAAGGAGAATATTTGGAGGTGAGAACCTGGGGCTTCTGCTAGAAATTCAGAACAGCACTAAGACTACACGGTTTATCGACTCAAATGGCAGTCGATTGTTGAATCCCTATCCAAATCAAACTAGATGAATAATCCTAACAACAATACATTTCCATCATATAACACTACAGACTGTACATACATACATACATACATTGTCATAGCTAATATTGGGATGGTGCAACCAAAGGCACAGAATGACCAACTTCTGTGGTCCACGAGTGCTCATCGACATTTATACTTTTTGGCATGCTGCAAGGGTCAGGAGACTCAGCTGACATACTAGGCGGTGGGCGTAACTGAAAGAATGATTTGTTGCCTTCGCCATAGCCCCCTATGCAGATTGTGTCACCCCGGCCATGCCATGTCCCATCTTGGACATTGTTCATCTCCAATGTTCTAGATTCCTGATTTGTATAACTAGATTATTAATTAATCATTTCCAAAAAATATAATAAGAAAAATAAGATCTATGTTGGAAAAACTCAAATTGAAGAAATATGTAATTTAAATTTATTTTCATTTTATTTTAACATGCAGTTGTTTAATCAAAAATTTCAAACAAACCTGACATAATGTGCAGCAAGGGCATACAAGATGGTAGCCACAATCATCTAGTGAACTATCACTACCCTGTAAAACAATTTTTACCAAAAGATGTCAGCCTGCTCAAGATGTTTTTAAGAAGTGAAATTAACCAAAAAATGGCATTGGCTATGCAAACACAAGTCAGTTAAGAAACACATCTTTGAAAATTATATACTAATTATATGAAAGGATAAGGAAGGAGTGTATGAAGTCAAAAGTTCGATTTGGTCATATAAGAGATTGAAATAAAAGCAAATTTGAATCCTTTTCAATGGAAGCAATATAATTCATATGTACAAGAATGTTTAGACTTTCCAGAAGAAGCATATTTGTAATCTTGGATTTCTGTTTCTGTTAGACACGCCGCTCAACCTCTACCTGGAAGTATTGTCCTCTATGGCCCAATCCAACTGCTAGCCTTGCTAGTTGTCCATTGGGTTCCAATCCAAAAAATGCCCCCACAACAAATGATCTTTGGCTCTGATACCATGTTCAACGCTCTAACTCAAGGGTTTGTCCCTATGGCCCTGTTCAACAGCTGGCCTCAAGGGTTTGTCCCTTTGGGCTCTAACTCAAAAGGCGCCTCCACAATGGAGGTGTCATGTGCCGTCTTATAGGTTCCATCCTAGACATCATCTATTACTGATGTGAGACGCTAAAAGTTCCAGTACATTTGCACGTGCAGCGATTGGTTCTTGAGAACAAGTACTAATGTGCACACTAAAGGAATTTGATTCATGAGTACAAGTTCCAACATTGGTACGGCTCAGATCATAATCAAAGAAATGTGTATTGAGGGGAGAAAAAGTTAGCAACCAAGCTTGATAGGGAAAAGGGGTTTACAAATGATGAGAATAAAAAAATAATTAGGAGACACATAACATAAAACATTACACATTAAGTTTTAAATTAATCGGTAATGTGTTTCCTAAACAAATGTATTGATAGATATAAATAATCAAGTTATTACACTCACTAAAAACTTTTAAACTTTTACATGAATTGGTGACTAACAATTCAACATGGTATCAAAGCAAGCAATAGATTGTGTGTTTGAATCTCACTGCTAACCCGATAATTAAAATATTTGCATCTATTTAGCCTGCTTAGAGTCTCTAGTAGCTTAAGCTTTGAGATGAGTAGGTGGTTAACAATTCAACCAAATGCAAAATCCATAAAATATGAATATCTAAGGAGAAACTCACCTTGATGTTAAACTTCTTCTTAATTTTTGTACGGTAAAATCCCAAATATGTTCCAACTAAGATGGTGAAAGCACCACCCAAAAATAGAAAGCAATTTCTCTTTGTCACAACAAAGGCTATGCAGTTGAGAAATGCAGCAGCAGCAAGAATGAAATACACAATTCCCTGCAAAATTAGAATGAGAAATGAAACTTATTATAAATGTTTCAGACTTTTAGAAACATATATGACAACTGAAATGTAGGAATGAATATACAGAACAAAAAATGATTCAGTGTCCCCAGTACTTAAAATGATAATTTCAACAGCAATATCAGTTAGCATATGTAAATAAATGGATCATCGGTCATAGCTTACTAACATTGCCAGAACTGTGACATAAGTTGACTTGAAAAGCTACTACGGAGTGAATGGTAAGTGTCAAGCCACGTGGGTAGGCTTAAACTAATTTGAAATGGCTTAGACAGCATAAAGGTTCAGCACTAGGATTATCTGGGAACTTTGGTAAATATAAGGTGCATTTAAGGTTCTGAAAATATAAGAAACGAAGAAAACAAAATGTCGGACCAATTCATCAGAGATTTTATTAAGAATTCAACTTCTGATATTTAAATTTTCTTTTTTGGACATCCAGGAATGAATAGTTCATGAACAGACAAATATGTTAAAAAGAGTAGGCAGCTAATTATGGGTGTTAAAAAAAAGGAAAAAGTTTGGAAAGCCCAATTTGGGGACTTTCATGACTCTCAAATGTGTGTGATTGGTCCATATGTGTTTTTGTTTTTGTTTTTGTTTTTGGATTTTTTTTCTCTCTCTTACATTAGATGATGTGGCGGTTGTGGGGGTGGAGTTTTTGTGGGGTCTCAATCATTAGTCTAAAAAAAAGTGGTGAGGATTTTAACAACAATGTATTATAATATCTATCCATATCAGTTAAGATACAGATAATATCTAATATATATTATATCTATCTATATCAGTTCAAACTGATAACGTCTGTTTCAAGAGTGGTTATCCTAAATAGGTTTGATTTCAAAATCAAAACCTATTTGGATAAGGATCAAATGTTAAATTTAAATGGTCATGCCACATGGGCGCCCATTACTAACACTTGGACATCCAGGAATGAATAGTTCATGAACAGACAAATATGTTAAAAAGAGTAGGCAGCTAATTATGGGTGTTAAAAAAAGGAAAAAAGTTTGGAAAGCCCAATTTGGGGACTTTCATGACTCTCAAATGTGTGTGATTGGTCCATATGTGTTTTTGTTTTTCTTTTCTCTCTTACATTAGATGATGTGGCGGTTGTGGGGGTGGAGTTTTTGTGGGGTCTCAATCATTAGTCTAAAAAAAAATGGTGAGGATTTTAAATGAGCAAAATAAATTACCTGAACAAGACAAGAACCAAAACCAGCTCGTCTCATGTTTTTCCCAAATCTATAGCATGGACAGCTGCATACACACAATACCAAACACACATAAGGATAAAAATTTTTAAAAAAAAAAAAAAAAACAATACATGTTTGTTTAAATTACAGTATCAGTCTCTCATCTTGGGTACAAACATATATATCATCCTAAAAACCTATAATTAATTATTATCAATTTGAAAAAATTATTCAGCAGTCTTGGAGAGCACTGCCATGGCATGTGGTAGTGGTGCTGCCAACCAATAAAGGAGCACAAACGGTATAGATAGAGCCAACCATGTCTCTCATCCGTGGTTAACTCTAAATATTCGCCTTATTGGTCCAAGAGCACCATACGTACTAAGTTGGTGATTCGAAACTACTAAATAAGGGGTTGTTTGGGATGACCTAAATAAGTGTATTTTTTGTCTTTTTACGAAAAGATGTGCAGAAAAGTAGAAAGGTGATGTGATGGAAAAAAGATAAAAAGATAAAAAGATGAATTATTTTGTGTATGCCAAACTTGGCCTAATTGTGTCATTCTAGCATTTAATACGCATCATCTTGTAATGACAACATAGCATTGAAAGAAGTATAATTAGTAGAAAATGGGGGAATTTTCGTTCATTTGTCAAAATGCATTTGAAGTATTCATATTGACAAAATTACTAAGATCTCGTTTGGGAGCAGATTATTTTAGTAACTTTTTAGCTTTATGGTGAAAATATGAGGTTAAAAAAAAAATTAGTATGTTTGAAATGACTTCTTAATTTTTTACGAAAAGATATGCAAAAAGTAAAGAGAAAATGAAATTTTTGACTTTTTTGTATAAGTTATAGTCTTTTTGTTTTTTTTTGAAACTTTTTGACTTTTGAGTTAAAATAAGTGCATGCCAAACGAGACCTAAGTCTCATAGCATTACTGCCGCATGTACTCATGGTGCTCTTAACGGAGAAAAAAACGAATGGATAGGGCCAGCTATGTGTTTCCCATGTTGCTAACCACAAATAGTCACCGTATTAAAAGCACCAAACATACCGAGTTGGTGAGCTAAAATTATTGAATAATTATGTCATTCTAGTATTTAATAGGGATCCCCATTCATTCCTAGATTACCGTCACTATAGATTGATTGTCCATGACTATTACTAGAAAATGGGTGAAAAAAATGTTCATTTTGTCAAAATCCATTTGAAGCATTCATAAGCAAAAAGAGACAAATTAAAGTAAAAAATTAAAAATAAAATAAAATAACTAGAAATTCAGAAGGTTCATTCCAAAATAACATGCTTTTCAGAAGTCAAAATATAGAACACAAAACAAACAACATTGTTTAACAGTTTTCAAAAGCAGTTTTCCACTTTTCAATCCATATTTTTTGGTTTTTAGTGATTTTTAAAATGTTTTAATCAATATTCTTTTTTTAAAAAAAATTCACTAAATATAAAAATAAATAAATAATATAAAAAATTAATATATTTTCGTACTTTTTTTTAATTGATTTTTTAAAATTTCTTCACAAATGTTTTTTACTTTTTAAATATATTTAGATTAACTACATCTAAAATTTTTTAAAAAATTAACTGAAATATGAAGAAAAAAAAATTAAAAATAACAAAACACGAAAAATAAAAAAATTTAAAGTCAAACATAATGTCGGAATTTATTCAACTACCCCAAAAAAAAAAAAAACAGAAACGAAAAAAAAAGAAACATACATATCATTGTTTTCATAACTGAAAGAAGAAGAAGAAGAAGAAGAAGAATTTGTAGCATATATTACCAAGCAGATTCCAGAGCGATACGGCGGTCTTCGAAGCAATCGAGAAGTCCACCCTCCCACATCCTCAGAACACCCCCAAATTCACCACCAACACCGCCATTTTCGAGCTCATGATTATCGAATTTGGTCCATTTCCCACGCGTCTTCATAGCCACCGTGGAGCACAACACATCAAAATCCAACACCGCCACCCCCTCCAACAACTTCTCTTCCTCCTCCTCCATCACGCCGGCGACTCCCTTCTCCGGTTCCGCCATTAGGCCTTCCATCTTCTTCTTCTTCTATCTCTTCCTACCATAGAAACAATATCAATATATGCATATCATATCTCTATCTGTCTATGTTCATATATCTGTGCTAAAATCTTTATGGCATTTTGGGTTTTTGCTTTTTTTTGTTTTTTTTTGGGTTACAACGGTTGCCAATTCGTTATTTCTTGGTAATGTAATGGGAGTTGGCGGGTAATAATAGAGGTTTGGGCCAACCGTCCAGCTGTTCCTCCCCACGTGTCCATTCATATCCACTCATATAGCATATATGAAAAATCCTGATTAGGTGAATTTTCGAAAATTATATTCTGTTTAGACATGGTTGTGTTAACAAAAACACATTAATTGATATATTTTGAACCTAATTTAATGTGTCAAGTTAACAAATAAATAGGATCCATTTAAAATGTGGTGAGAAGACTCTATTTATTAATGAAAAAATATTTTTTGATTGCGTGTCTTGTCGACTATGTGAAAAAATTATACTTGTAAATTTGAGATTTGAAAAATAAAAAGTAAGAGAGTCGAGCCAAAATAGTAAACCTGAGTAGCTTAATTTGGTTTCCAAAAAAATAAAATATTTTCTATTCTCTAACATGATGAAGAAAAAGGGGAAAAAAAAAATATATATATATATTAACCGCACACACCAAAAGAAAAAAAATTCATTGTTGAAGTTGAAATCTTAAACTTATCGGTGTCTTGCTAAAATATTTCCAAAGTACAAGACAAGGATTATATATATGTAAAAAAAATAAGAGATATTTTTTTATTGATTTTAGAATATATTTTTTTTATAATTTTTATAATATTTTTTACATAAATTTTAATATTAAATAATAATAAATGTCACTTGTTTGCATTTGTTATTATTTAATTAATTAAACCAAACACAATAATAATTAAACCAAAACAAAAGGATAAGAGGAGGGAGATAAGCACGGACAAAGAAAAGAACACCGTGCAGTGGGATGCTTTGCTTCTATCCTACCAACTTGTAAATTAATTCATTTAACACAGATGTTATTAATTTATTATATGAATTATTATTCTGTACGCAAAACTTTATTAGGATTATCATTTATATAGATAGAGATTCTTTAAACTATTAAAAAAATATTATCATCTTTAAATTATAAAAACGTATAAATAAATTTTTTAAATTATTGAGAATTATCACTTTGTATTTTAAATTATAAAAACATACAAATCCACTCTCAAAACTATAAAAATATACAAATTGAACCAACTAACGGAAGAGGTCAAACTTTAAGATATTTTAAATAAGTTCACTTTTTAATTTTTTATAAAAAGATGTGAATAAAAATAAAAAGAAGATATTAATTAATGTGACCCAAGAAAAATAAAAATATTATTTAGGGTATGACAAACAAAACCTAAAAATCATTTTTACACTTTTATAATTTAAAAGATAAATTTATACTTATCAATAGTTTACGTTTATATAACTTAGATAAAAGCCAAATTTATACTTATCAACAGTTTACGTATGCATAATTTAAATGATTAAAGTAATATTTATCAATAATTTAAGAAGTTTCGTGTAAATAATTTATTTTATTATTATACATAACAAATGATCACGCATTGGATAAGATGCTGTTTGCTCAGTCAGCGTGCAGTGCCGTCAGTCCACTGGATCACAGCAAAGGCAAAGCTGTGATGGCTGTATAAAGCTTTTAATTTCAATAAAGTTTGCATTTATTTTATCAACCTACCAACCCCATTTGCTTTTGAATTAGAATTTGGTTACATTCATCATGAAAATATGGGCAATAAAGAGCGGCCCAAGTGATCCCGTCCTATAGGTTAGAATTTACATTGTATTGTATATTGTGGGGCCGAATATTGAGAGTCGTAGAGATTTTGGATAATTAAATTTGGAGAGTCGAAATATATAGCACTCGGCGTCGTCTCGCACGCTCGAATCCAATCATACTCTGCCAAATAGCCGGTTAAGCAAAGGGCCGAGTGAAAAGCGGTTTGCTACAAAAGATGCCGAATAGCGAATTGAAAGTGGATCTAATCCCGAGCTCCAAGAAAGAAAAGATATAAATAAAAGAACATCAACCAGGAAGAGGTACGTGAGAACCATGACACTTAACTTAAAATACAAGTAATTCAGAGAGTAGAGACTGACTTGCCCGTTGGAATGCTAATTCGGACACCCCCGACCGGAGTGTTAATTCTTTTTTAGGTGACCAGCTGAGGATTACGAGTGTCCCCCGGGATTAGAAGAATATTTCCAAACCACTTCTCCACAATTGACGCCGTCTGTGGAAATACTCAAATACATCCATGGCGGAAGTAACAGAAAACCCTCCGATAGTCACTGACGAAACTACACAAAGAGACGACCTCACTCCAACAAACATGCTTGGACCGGAGACTATCGCCGCAAGACGTGCCTTGAACTTCGCCTCACCCTCGACTTCGGAGCATGAGACAATGCAGGCGATCATGGAACAAACAAAGCAAAACGAACAGAGGTTGGAGAACATGATCGCTGAGAATGAACGTCTCCGTCAAGATTTGGCCTTGGAAGTGGCGAAGTCCAAACAAGCTGTACGCCTTGAAAAAATCTAGAAATCCCCTAGATGTTGATTTGTGATTATGTATCAATTTTAAGCAGAATATAACAATCCCAATCAAACAATCAAACAATCAAAACAAAACAACACAACGATTTTACGTGGAAAAACCCACAATTGGACCCCTCCAACTGTAATAAAAAACCTCGGGCAACAGCCACAAGAACAATCCACTAAGAAGATTTAAAGGAATTACACAGGTATTATAATTAAAGTGAAAACCATATAATTAAAGTGAAAACCATATAATTAAAGTGAAAACCATATAATTAAAGTGAAAACCATATAATTAAAGTGAAAACCATATAATTAAAGTGAAAACCATATAATTAAAGTGAAAACCATATAATTGAAAGGCATATAGAATTAAAATGATAACCATATAATTAAAAGGCATATAGAATTATAAAATTACACATAAATTAAAAGCATATACTGATTACATTCAAAACTAATAGCATACTACATAAAATGAAACTTCAAATTCAAAACTTTTACAACTCGCTGTGTAATTGCCACAAGTGTTCGACAATGTCCGATTGGAGATGAGAATGTGTTTGCCTATCTCTAATATTATGATGACATTGAATGAATTCCATAAGTTCAGTAGTTCTCTTCTGTAACACTGTTACATGGGGACTGTCATCGATTTGGTCATAATTGAAGTCTTTTACTCCATTGTCATCCCGCTCATCCTCAATGATCATATTATGTAGAATTATGCACGCCTTCATAATATATTTAAGCATTTAAGTATTCCAAAAACGTGCCGGTTGACGCATAATTGCAAATCGTGCTTGAAGCACTCCAAATGTGCCTCGGACCCACCAAGGGGCGCTGCCCTCTCGACCCCCGCGAGCTGACCGGGCAGCTCGATCCCCGTCATAATCAGCGAAGTGGCAATCTTGAAAGCATTAACATCACAAACTTCTCTGAAAAGCACAATTCGGGTTGGATTCGCATCTAAACACTCATAGCCTCACTGAAATAAAAGTGCGAAAATAAATACAACTGAAAGGAGTTTTGTCAAACGGGGTTGCCAAGAATAAAACCTAACACGCCTAGATCCGAAACGACCTCCGAAGGCAGGTGGTCAACAACCTCGAGCCCGACAAGACGACACTGATAGCGACTCCGACTCATTATCCCCGGAGCCTAAGAAGAAGGGACGACCTGAAACTACCAGTTCTTCTGAAGAGAGTCCCCGTATAAGGCATAAGCGAAGAAGAAACAGTTCAGATGAAGATTAGCACGATCCCTTTGTACGACGGATTGTAAAGGCAGTGTTACCCAAGAAATTCAAAGCACCGTCATTCACCTTGTACGACGGTAAATCAAACCCCACCGATCACATCCCCCATTACAAGCAAGCCATGACCCTGCATGTAGATGACAAGGCTCTCATGTGCAGAATATTTCCGAGCAATTTGGGACCACTAGCTATCATGTGGTATTATAAACTGGAGCCGGCTTCAATTAAAAGCTTTCACCAACTCCAAAAATCCTTCAGGGCAAGTTTTATCACTAACGAGGTCCAGCCAAAGCAAGCCGATTCCCTCTGGGCAATGCAGATTCAACCGGGGGAAACCCTTCGTGTCTATTCGGCGCGGTATTGGGAATGTTTCAATCTGGTAGATGATGCTTGCAATGACTCCATGGCCATCACCGTCTTCAAGATGGGGCTGCATCCCGACAGTGCCCTCCGCAGTTCATTGACCGGACGGCCCCCCAAAACAGTTTGGTCGTTGATGAAGAAAGTTGAAGAATACTGTAAAGTGGAAGATGATGCCTTGCGGGTTAAAGCCGACAACGTGACCAACAAGACGGCTCCTGCTGAAATTGCTCAACCGTTAAATTCTGTAGCACCTCAGAGCCTTGAACCATGGCATCGGGCGAAATGAGATAAGAGACGAGATTCTTGCCGATCAAGTAACCAATGCTCCCGCCGAGCGAATGAACAGCTGCAAATCGACAGCAGGCGCACAAGGCGTGCCGACAAGAAATATACTGAGTTGTCAGAACCGATCAGCACGGTCATGTCCAAAATCTAACATCTTTCGTTCTTCAAGTGGCTGTCAAAGATGGTGGAACCTCCCGACACTCGAAGACAGGATAGGCAGTGCGAATATCACAAGGATCATGGCCATGAAACTGAGAGTTGTTATGCATTGAAGGATCACCTGGAGGAATTGGTACAGAATGGTCAACTACAACAGTACGTCTGAAAGGGCAACTCAACCAAAGCAATAGCCTTAAGACAGGATTTCCCTCAACTCGGTGTGATCCATATGATATGCTGCTTGCCAATTTCATCCGCCCTGCATACGATTCAGTCGAACCCCGATCCTCAAAATCAACTCACTCCGGCTAAACGGCCCCATGAAGCTGCAAATATTTCTTTTGATGATTCATATCTAGTCGGAGTGACACTTCCTCACATCGATCCCTTGGTAATTGAGTTACACGTAAACCGATCATCGTTGAGCGCGTACTCATTGATCCGGGGAGCACATCAGAGGTTATGTATTACAAGACATTCACGAAACTCGGCTTCTCAAAATTGGATCTCTCTCCGGCTCCTTACCCATTATTCGGCTTCAATGCCAATC